CTGCAGAAGAGCCTGTCTGGGTGCATGAAGCTACTGCTCTCCGACTTCGCCGTCGCCAGAAGCGCGTTGACAACGCTAGCCAGGAAGCCAGGAGGAGTGCCCGTCTGCTGGAGAAGGAGCCTGCCGTGAGGGTCAGCATGACCGCTCGCGCGACGCGTCTCAAAGAGCTGAAAGACACGATCGCCTCCTGCTCCAAGAAGCTCCGCGGCACGGTTGGACGCCTGAAGATCCTGGACCACGCTGACGGGGTGCCGCTTGAGGATGGCAAGGTGGTCGCCCTCGCTGCTTGTCTCTCTGGCAAGCGTGGAGGATGGGCTGGTGCCAAATGAGGGAGATGTGTGCCTCGCGCGCGATCGCTGGGACTCCCCAGCCTGCTGCACACAGGAGCCTCCCTGCTCCTTTTCATCCAGGCTGTGCCGCCTGTGCAGTCCACCCCCTTTCCTTAGTGTGTCATTGCGGTAGCCCTGTTTGCTGCTGCTGTGTGTTTTGCTGCTGGCCCCCCTCTGTGTTGTTGTTAGACGGCGACTCATGAATCGCTCCAACCAGCAGTTGTCTCTCTGTGTTTTGGAATGTTCAGGGCCTGGGGGACCCCCTAAAATGTGTTGATGTTAAGCAGTGCCTGTCGGAAAAACCTTTCTCCATCACCATCTGCATCCAAGAAACAAAACTCCCAGATGTTCCTAAGCAAAAAGCTCGCTCTTTCCTCCCAGCAGCAAATTCCGAGTTTGTGTTCAAGCCTTCCGATGGCTCTCGTGGCGGGATCCTTACTGCTTGGAACCCCAACACCCTCGCTCTCCAATCCTCCACCATCATGGCGTATAGAAGTGTCTCCACCTTCCGTTCCATGTCAAACAACTTCTCCTTCTCAGTGGAGAATGTCCATGCCCCAACTGATCAGACGCTACGCTGCTAATTGCGTAATTAGCACGTTACACATGCTATAACGCTGTAACGTTGAAACGTTACGAAGTGCAGACTATGCAAAACTAAAATAAGCACAACCTAGCAGGCTAGCAGGCCAAAACCAACCCACAACCACTAGTTTTCTCATTCCTTTTATTAGATTCTCTCACGAGACCTAACCAGCAAGCCTAGGTGGCTGCCCCGGTGGCTGTTGATGTTAGAGACTCTTAAAACTATGGTTGTTGATGTTTGAGACTTACTATTTTTATGTGCTGGATTTGGCCCTTATGCATATATTGCTTGCTCCTATGAAAAATTTAGTTGCTTAAATACTTTATTTCTAGATATATTTGATTTATTTTGCAAACGCTATTTTGAAATATAGCACGCTATAACTTGTGTAGCATTTAGAGAAGGGCCTCGCTATATTTTGTAGCGCGCTATTTAAAATATTGGTCCACGGCCGAGCTCAGCCTGCGGGATGGGGTCCAAGCGGCTCTCTCCGATGCAAACTCTAAAGTCGCGATTCTTTGGCAGCAGCGTGCAAAGATCAAGACGGTGGTCCTCGGCGATGCAAACTCGTGGTTTTTCATACGCCTCGCAGCGCATGCGTAAAAACCTCATCCCGTCCCTTCTGGTGTCGGGTGTGACTGTCTCGACCCATGAGGCCAAGGTTGAAGCGCTTTTCCGCTTCTACTCCAACCTGCTCGCATCCACTTCGTCGCCGGCATGGGGATTTGATCTCGAAAGCTTGTACGAGGGGCACTGCCGCGCCGGCTCGGTGAGCCTCGATGCTCCTTTCTCCGACGATGAAGTTTGGGAGGCCTTCCAGAGCATACGAGCAGCTAGCAGCCCTGGTCCGGATGGCTTTGGGCCGGGTTTCTACCGTGCGTTCAAGCACCTCGTCCTCCCCCAGCTCCTGAACCTGGCAAAGGAGTTCTGCGACGGGGCAGCGGGCCTCCAGCCAATCAACAAGGCGCTGGTGGTGCTTGTGCCCAAGAAAGATGGGGTGCTGGAGCCCTCCTCTTTCCGCCCAATCTCCCTTCAAAATGCCAGCGTCAAGGGGTTGGCAAAAGGGGGCTAACCAACCGGCTCCAGCCCGCTGTGGCTGCCCTTCTGGATCTCGATCAGACTAGGTTCATCAAAGGGAGATGCATCGCTAAAAATTTCTTCTATGCGTCTGAGATCACCCAAGTCTGCCACAAACGCAAGGCGCCGACCCTTGTGGTGAAGCTGGACTTCGCAAAGGCCTTTGACTCGGTGATTTGGAGCAGACATTTCGACATCCTTGCAGCTCGTGGTTTCTCGCAATGCTGGATTGGTTGGGTTGAAGCGACGCTGGAGTCTGCCCGCTCGGCGGTGCTTCTAAATGGTGTCCCTGGGAAGTGGATTTCTTGCCGACAAGGCCTGCGCCAAGGAGACCCCTTGTCCCCTTACCTCTTCATCCTGGTGGCTGATGCGCTGCAACGCCTCATTCAGCGAATGTGTCGCGAATACAAGCTGCATCACCCCCTCCGCGATGACATGCCGTGCCCCGTCCTGCAATACGCGGACAACACGCTAATCCTGATCAGAGGCACCCCGGAGGACGCAACCAAGCTGCGTGTGGCCCTCGACCTCTTCTACAACACCATTGGGCTCAAGATCAACTTCGCCAAAAGCACCGTTGTCCCCCTGCACATGACCGAGGAAGATGCTCAGCTCACCGTATCTGCCCTTGGATGCGAGGTCGCTGAGGGAGTCCTGGATTAGGGGTATCCGGACAGCCGGACTATATACATTGGCCGGACTGTTCGACCGTGAAGATACAAGACTCAAGACTTCGTCCCGTGTCCGGATGGGACTCTCCTTTGCGTGGAAGACAAGCTTGGCGATCCGGATGTTAGATTTCCTTCTTTGTAACCGACTCTGTGTAACCCTAGCCTCCTCCAGTGTCTATATAAACTGGAGGGTTTAGTCCGTAGAAGAACAATCATAATCATAGGCTAGCTTCTAGGGTTTAGCCTCTATGATCTCGTGGTAGATCAACTCTTGTAATACTCATATCATCAAGATCAATCACGCAGGAAGTAGGATATTACCTCCGTCGAGAGGGCCCGAACCTGGGTAAAACATCGTGTCCCCTGACTCCTGTTACCATTAGCCTTAGACGCACAGATCGGGACCCCCTACCCGAGATTCGCCGGTTTTGACACCGACAGTCGTCTCCTTCCCGCAAAGCTACCTTTGCTTGCCCCTATCCACTCGTAAGCTCGGGAAGATGGATTTCAAGCCGCTCATCGCCAAAGTGGACAAGTATCATGCTGGCTGGAAGGCGGCGTTGCTCTCCCCCGCCGGCAGACTCGTCCTCGTCAATGCGGTCATCACCAGCCTCCCTGCTTATGCCATGTCCACGCTGCTCCTGCCGGTTGGTGTCGGGGAGGATATTGACAGGCTACGGCGGGCTTTCTTCTGGTCTGGGGAGTCATCCTGCTCGGGCGCCCGCTGTCTCATCGCTTGGAAGGACGTGTGCCGGCCAAAGGATGCTGGAGGCCTTGGGGTGCGCGACCTGGCAGCCCAAAATGCCAGTCTGCTTGTCAAACTTCTGCATCGACTTCACCAGCCCCGCAGTTCAGCCTGGGCGGTGTGGTTCTGGCGAGAATACCACAGCGTGGACGACAAACGCGCCCTCACATCGGCCGTCTGGAGAACTCTTGCGACGCTGCTCCCCCTCTACCGCGACCTATCTTGCGTCACACCCGGGGACGGAGCTCGGACAGCTTTCTGGCTTGACAACTGGTGCGTCGAGGGCGGCCCTCTGAACAGGCGGTTCCCTGCATATTTCTCCCATGCACATGACGCCGCGCCGGTGCCACTGCTGCTGCTATGTGCAGAGATGGGTTCCGCGACCGCCTGGCTCCTCGCCTTTGGGCCGTTGCAGCGCAAGAGCTAGCCATGCTCCCTGGCTGCGACGCCGCGGTTTCGTCTGTTCGGGTGGCTGGTGGCTCGTGATCGCGTCCACTCCAAGGCAAATCTGCTCAAAAAACATATCCGGCATGAGGACAGGTGTGAGCTTTGCTGCAGGGCCTCTGAAACAACAAATCACCTCCTTTTTGATTGCAGCCGTGTCGCCCACCTTTGGCGCGGCGTTGGTATTGAGGCCGGTGTGAACTGCGGCTCCATTTGGGAGGCCCGTCCACATACTTCGGCGCTGGCTCTCCACTGGGGCACGGTGTGGCTGCTGCTCCTATGGACCATCTGGAAGCATCGCCATGGTGTCCGTCTTCCGCGGGAGCAGGCCGGCTATCAGCCGTGCCGTGCGCTCTGTTTCTGCTGAACTTACACTCTGGTCTTTCAGGTTAAAAACCCATGAACGGGTGGGCATGTTAGCCTGGATCCCCTATCTTGAATCCCTGAACCTGTGATTTCAGAGCACTTGTAACTCGAACTCTTGTACTCCCCCAGCGCCATGGGGGCTTTCCTAAAAAAAAAACATGATATTTTGGCATGAAAACTTGCAAAGACCTGCAAAGTTTTACCATCTTTGATGTTGCAAAGTTTAAGAGTTTTTCGATTTTTTTTTCAACTTTTTTTACTGTTTGTAGAGGGTGCCTAGGCACCAGGGAGCTATCACACCTTTTTTTTTTTGGCTTCCCTTATATGAATTTGAAAGCCCACGCTTTTGGGGCAGCAGCTCTATAATCGGACTCTAAGCGCAACAGACAGTCAAGCAGCTCTTTTGGGACATAACCGAACCCGCCTACCTCCTGTAGTAATGAATGGATGTTATAGATATGACTTCTGCGGTACAATATCGCTACCATACTTTCAATTGTAAATTTTTTTACGCATGGGACGTTGAATGATACCATAGAGAAACCACCTGATTATATCTTGACAAACTCCCCCTCGCTCCTCCTCGTCTCGCCGCCGCCTGAAGCCCTGCAGGCGAAGCCCGGGCAGGTCCCGGGACGGCGGCGGTGGGGCGCTTCCCTGAGTTGGCCTCTCTCTCCCCCGGCCTGGATCTCATTGGCAGCAACCCATCGGATGCCTCGGTTGATCCGTGTGGCGGCTGGCCATGAGATGCCTTGGCCCGATCTGCAGGAGAGGGTGGTGTGGCTGCGGCGCTCACCCGCGGGCGGCGGCATGGTGTCGATGTTGGGAGGCCCAGATGCATGGCGGTGGCTGGATGGCGTGCACAAGGCGACAACGCTCCAGTGATCTGGTGTGGCGCCTTCTTCGACCGGTGCGGTCCCTGATCTGATTCATATCTCATCGGCCTGCCTCGGGACTTTCCGGCTTAGAAGGATCCAGTCCTCCGGCCATGGTGGTCCTGTGGTGAAGGTGGACGCGGTGGAGCAGCTAGGCTCATTTTTCTGGAGGAGATGGAGACTGCGGGCGAAAGCCATACTTTGACTATGGTCGAAGCCAACAACGACAGCGCCTATGGCGTCGCTACCTTGATGAAGGCGTCGACATATAATCTTCGGCTTCCCTCCCAGAACACTTGAGGGGAAACCCTAGGTCCGGGTTTGCCCGGATCGGATGAAGGCGGCACTTGGGGTCGTGTTCCCCGTTGGGGGTATCATCTTGGAGTTGGGCCTAGTTAGCGAGACTAGTGGCTGGCGGCGGTTTGCCGGTTGCTTTTGTGCCGTCAAGCAGGGATGATCCGTTGTTGCAGTGTGGCCTTGCGAACATGGTGCACAGTGGTAGTCCAGGGATGTGATAGCGGTACAGATAGCCAAGTCATCTTCGATGATATTGACGGCTTGTTGCAGCCAAGGCGGCGCAGTGTAGGCTCGTGGTGTATTGTATGGGGCCCAAGGTCATGCTAAGATTTACCATCGACAAACACTTGCATCGGAAGCATGGGATCGCCGGAGCGTCTCAATGAGATTTTGGCGGTACCATCTCTTCTTGCTATTTGAGCTGTGACCGATGTCACTTGAACATCGACGGAGGTTCTGATTCCGCGGACGGTCTTTGGCAAGCCGCTTTCATAGTGCGTGCGCGTTTAGTCTGCGTGGCTGTGTCCACGTTCGGATCACGTGCGCTTGCACCATCTTCTTTTGGATCAACACCTGCTCGGCGTGGATTATCATTGCTTTTTTTCACTTTCTTTTTGTTTCCTATCCGTCTTGGCATAGCTTCGGTCGTATGACTTTGCTAGTTGTCGGTGTGATTTTTGTGTGTGTGCGTTTGTGTTGGCTGTGTGCATCTTAGCTATGCAGAGGCCGGGTGTGTGCTCTTTGTGTTTGTATCCCCTTGATGCTCCATATTGAGCTAATAAAATCCACCCTTTGTCGAAAAATATCTTGACAACTGAGCCAGTATAGGAAAAGATTTGTATTTCTGGAATCTAATGTAATGGCTACAACGACTTGAGCATCTTGTAATGGCTACAACGACCCAAAAGGAGTTGTCTGACAGAGGATGCAAATGGATATTTATCAATGTTCCAAAGAAATAGCAGGAGCTATGCCATACAAATATTTATGTATATGTACCAGATTGCCAACCAGCAGCAACGAATGGTATATGGTACTATTACAGGTCATGAGCATAATGCAGAAAACAAACTACCATACAGATTAAATTATGTCTTACAGACAGACTCTGTATAATCATAGGAAGAAACAATAGTGTGCCAACTGAATGAACATTCAAGAGTCAGGACCAGCAGGCGGGGATGACAATGGCCGTCTGGAAATAATCAACATTATTAGCAGGTGATTGGTCAGCTGTTGAGAATGCCTTGATCACTTGCTTCATAGTCGGACGGTGTGCTGGATCAGGTTCTATGCACCGAACCGCGACCGCAATTACTTTGAATATTTCGCTGGCGATTTTAGCTTCAGGAAGTGGGAGTCGGGTGTCCAGGAATTTCACAAGTGGTGTACTTTGGTTGTTGTCCATGGACGAAAGCAGATCACCTGGATGATGTCCCATGAACAACTCTAGAACCAGCACTCCGAAGCTATAAACATCGCACTTCTCAGTCACTCTAGTTGTGTATGCAAGTTCTGGAAAAACATAAACAACGAAGAATTAATTTCGATAGCAATCCGTTATACAGTAATGCAATATACATGGCTTCCAACTATTAAAAATATGCCAATGGTGCATCAATATTCGGAGTCCTATTCATTAAGATAAATAATAAGGTTAGTGGTATTCCTCCAGATTTAAGCATGTAGTCCATGCAGAGAGGAAAATAAATATTTATTTAGAATGCTAATGTATGCTCTTTAATTTAGAAAGAAACATAAATGGTCTTTATTACTGTGACAAGATTGTTGATATAACCAACATAAAGATATAATTTTACCTGGGGCAAGATATCCTTTTGTGCCGGCGAGGCTCGTGCAGTTTGATGCATCCTCGTCTAGTATCTTTGCTAGACCAAAATCCGATATGCATGCCTTAAATTCGAGATCAAGCAAAACATTGGTGCTTGTTATATCTCTATGGACTATCGGCGCGAAGCAGTCGTGATGCATGTAAGACAAAGCATGAGCAACATCCCAAATAATGTTTAACCTTTTCATCCAACCTAATTGAACTGCAGTTTCCCTGCCCTGCAAAGATGCTGCCAAGCTCCCTCTATTCATGTATTCATACACAAGGAATCTTCCCTGTGGTGCAGAGCAGTAACCAAATAACTTTGAAATGCTCCGATGTCGAATATGCATCAACGCATGTATTTCACGGTTAAATTGCTCGTCGTCTTCCACCATATGGATCTTCTTCACTGTAAATAATTCACCTGTTGGTAACTGAGCCCTATACACGGACCCATTCCCTCCAGATCCAACGCAATAAGCTTCACTGAAATTGTCTGTGGCATCAACAATTTTCTTGTACACATCTCCCCCATCAAAGTTCCAGATGGCAAACACATTGGTTTGTTGTACTCTATTTGCAGTTTCTGCTTGGGGTTTCTTCTTTTTGCATTGCCAGGCTACTAGTGTAGTGAGAAACACAAATGATATAATGGTGGGTACAATAGCCAGTAAAATAGCTCTAGAATTTTTTCCTTGTTTACTACTTGGAGGAAGATCACAAGGGGGCAAACCTTTCACGACACCACATAATTTCTTATTATGCCAGAACCATATGACTGGAGCTTCTTCAAAAAGTCTAGTATGTGGCACTGGCCCTTCTAATTTGTTGTACGAGACATCCATGGATCGGAGGCTGCTCATGCTCTGAAATGATGGTGGAATGCCACCGTTCAGTGCATTGTGAGAAAGATTCAAGACATCAAGCATACCAAGACCACCTAATAGACTTGGAATAGTACCATCAATTGAATTGTCACTTAGATCCACCATATATTGTAGGTTTACCAACGCCCCTAGTTCGATAGGAATGGTACCATTGAGTTGGTTATGACTCAGTTTTAGGAAGTCTATCTTTAGGCAACGCCCAATTGATCCTGGTATCTGCCCAATTAGGTTGTTTGATGACAAATCTAGATACTCCATGTTGTTTAGTAATCCAATTTCTTGTGGCATATTTCCCGCGAGCAAGTTATTGGAAAAGCTCAGCTTGAACAACATTGTTACATTGCCAATCTCTGGTGGAATCTGACCTTCAAGCTTGTTTGATGAAATGTCAAGTATCCCCAACTGGGACAATTTCCCTATGCTTGATGGTATTACTCCAGTTATGTTGTTGTTTGATGCACGTAGCATAGTAAGTTTGTAGCACTCGCCCCAAAGATGAGATAATTTTCCAAATAGTTTATTTGAACTGATATCAACATAAACAAGATTTGGATAAGTTCCCATCTTGGTGATATCTCCTTTGAGGTTATTTCTTTCAAGTCGAAACCAGACTAGGCTTTTACAACTTAGCAAGCTTGATGGCAAGGGTCCAACCAAGTTGTTGTTTGCAGCAGTGAAATGTTCTAGCTGACCCCCCGCACAAAGTCCAGATGGCAAGGTACCAGAGAGGCTGTTAAAAGAGAGATCCAATAAAGGTAGACTCAAATTCCCTATACTATTTGGAATTGAACCAGAGAGTGTGTTTTGACCAAGCGCCAAGACTTGTAAGTTCAACAACCAACCTAGTTCTTGTGGAATTTGCCCAGAAAGTTGGTTTTGGCCAATGTACAAGCTAGTGAGTTTTGTCAAATTTCCTAAGATATTTGGTATGGAACCTATTAGCTTATTGTAGCTAAGTCTCAAGTACATTAGGTTGACCAAATGACCAAGTTCTCGAGGGATACGTCCACAAAGTTGGTTGTAGGAAAGATGTAAGGTAGTGAGGTTTGTCAAATTTCCTAGCATATTTGGGATGAAGTTTGTTAGTGTGTTACTGCCAAGCTCCATGAGCTCTAAGTTCGACAACCTACCTAGTTCTTGTGGAATTTTCCCCGAAAGTTTATTCTGGCCAAGCTGCAAAATAACGAGTTTTGTCAAATTCCCTAAGCTATTTGGGATGGAACCTATATGCTTGTTGTAGTTAAGGTTCAAGTCCTGTAAGTTGATCAAGTGACCAGCTCTTGAGGGATGCATCCAAAAAGTTGGTTCTCGTAAAGGTACAAGGTAGTGAGTTTGGTCAAATTACTTATGGTGGTTGGGATAGTACCTGAGAGTGTGTTTTTGCCAAGGTCCAAGTCCTCTAAGTTCAACAACAAACCTAGTTCTTGTGGAATTTCCCCAGAAAGATGATTATGGGAAAGGTACAAGGCAACAAGTCTTGTCAAATTTCCTAGGCTGTTTGGGATGGAACCTGTTAGTGTGTTGTTGTACAGCTCCAAGTCCTCTAAGTTCAACAACCACCCTAGTTCTCTTGGAATTTTCCCAGAAAGTTTGTTCTTGAAAAGGTACAAGGTAGTTAGTTTCCTCAAATTTCCTAGGCTATTGTTGGACAGCTGCAAGTCCTCCAAGTTGACCAAATGACCAAGTTGTCGTGGAATTTTCCCAGAAAGTTGGTTCTGACCAAGGTGCAAGGTAGTGAGTTGTTCTAAAATTCCTAAGGTATTCGGCATGGAACCTATCAGGGAGTTGTAGCTAAGGGCCAAGTCCTTTAAGTTGACCAAATAACCAAGTTCTTGGGGGATGTGTCCAAAGAGTTGGTTGTGGTGAATGTATAAGGTAGTTAGTTTTGTCAAATTTCCTAGAGTGTTTGGGATGGGACCTATCAGGTTGTTGTAGCTAAGGCTCAAGCCCTTTAAGTTGACCAAATGGCCAAGTTCTCGGGGGATTTTTCCAGAAATTCGGTTAAAGGGAAGGTACAAGGCAGTGAGTCTTGTCAAATTTCCTAAGCTATTTGGGATGGAACCTGTTAGTGTGTTGTTGTACAGCTCCAAGTCCTCTAAGTTCAACAACCACCCTAGTTCTTTTGGAATTTGCCCAGAAAGTTTGTTCTGGAAAAGGTACAAGGTAGTTAGTTTTGTCAAATTTCCTAGGCTATTTGGAATGGAGCCAAACAGCTTGTTGTTGGCAAGCTGCAAATCCTCTAAGTTGACCAGATGACCAAGTTGTCGTGGAATTTTTTCAGAAAGTTGGTTCTGACCAAGGTGCAAGGTAGTGAGTTTTTTCAAACTTCCTATGGTATTTGGGATGGAACCTATCAACGTGTTGTAGCTAAGGGCCAAGTTCTCTAAGTTGACCAAATAACCAAGTTCGCGGGGAATGCGTCCAAAAAGTTGGTTGCGATGAAGGTATAAGGTTGTGAGTTTTGTCAAATTTCCTAGACTGCTTGGGATGGAACCTATTAGCATGTTGCTATCAAGATCTAAAATCTCTAACCGCAACAGCGAAATTAGTTCTTGTGGAATTTTCCCAGAAAGTTGGTTCTGGCTAAGGTACAAGGTAGTGAGTTTTGTCAAATTTCCTAAGGTCTTTGGAATTGAACCTATCAACCTGTTGTAGCTAAGGGCCAAGTCCTTTAAGTTTACCAAATGACCAAGTTCTCTAAGGATGTGTCCGAAAAGTTGGTTGCGGTGAAGGTATAAGGCAGAGAGTTTGGTCAAGTCAAATACACTACTTGGGATTGAACCGGAAAGATTATTGTTAGATAAATCTAATATAACCAAGTTCTTTAGGTGGCCTATTTCGGAAGGGAAATCACTAACTAAGTGATTGTTTGACAGGTTGAGGGTCACAAGGCTACTCATGTTTCCTATATCCCTTGGTATTCCACCGGAGAGTTCATTTTCGTGAAGCATTAAGGAGCTCAATTTTGTGAGATTTCCTAGACCTACAGGAATTGAGCCTCTTATCTGGTTGCCTTGCAGGAGCAGAGCGCGGAGCTCCCCGAGTACCTCGATGCTGGGAGGGATGCTCCCGACGAGGAGGTTGTGCGAGAGGTCGAGGCGTGCCAGGGTCCTCAAGGCCGAGAAGTTGAGGGACTCCAACATCCCTCCGAGTCGCATCTCGCGGAGAGAGATGCCACTGATCACCAGCCGATGCACACCGGTACCGCAAGTGATGCCGCGCCAATTGCAGGATGTTGACGTGTTTCCCCAAGAGCGCAGGGCATGCTGGCTTTGGTTGTCAAGGCTTGCTTTCCAGACGAGGAGCGCTCTTGCTTGTCCTCCAGGCACCGCTGCATCCGACGCAAGTGCGACAGAGGTGGCCATCATCATCGTCAATATGGCCATTGTGAGAGAGGCAAGCATTTTGGATGGTGGCTCCATCTCCATGACTAGCTAGCTAGGATGGAATTGGCTCTGGTTTTGGTTCTGAGTGCTGATGGCAGCTCATTAAATAGTCAAGCACACATCTGTCGATATGTTAACGGAATATACATGTCAAAGAAGAGAACAACCTTGGCCATGGAAGTCGGCAGATCCTGCCATGCTTGATGAGAGTAGGCATGAGAGTTACCGTCAGCTCCAGCTAAGGGTCAAGTCATTCGTGTTGGAGGCATATGCATACTGATTTGAGGATGGCTGAATTGCCTGTCTCACACGGCACAGCAATGTTGTACTAGCTTCCAAACATTCGATGGATACGTGGACCAAACCAGGCAGCAGAATGAGTGGTGTCGCTCTTCTTGGTTAACCCAAAGAACGGAGACTAAAAATTGTACTATGAACTTTGAAGCATCCAAGACTAAAATAATACTTCCTCTGTCTCATAATTTAAGAAGTTTTACTAGTTTGTAAAAGCCGACCCTCGGTCAAGTATATGATGTGGTTGAACAAGACTATGAATCATTCAAGATTTAAATAACGTCTGTAAACGATTTGCCAGCCATCAGTATGTATCATGCGGATATATGCAAGCCTTCCCGATTTTCTGCTCCCGGAGAAGCACGACCTGTGTTAGCTGTGCGCCTGTGCAGTGGAGAAGTAACCCAATTTTTTCATTTCTTCACCATACCAATACTTTTGCTGGACGGGCTTCGACCAGGGGACTCTTCCACCTGGTTGCGATTGGTCAGCCCGTAGCAACATTTCCGAACAGGGTCTGGACCCAACCCATCACTAGATTCCCTCCGGTTCAGCCCGACGCGCATGATTCCCCCTCCAAGTGACGCCGGCACTGTCGTCCGTGGAGGGGGGGGGGAACACCACGAAGCCCCAAGACGGGCGTCTACGCATGCCACAACACTTTCACACATGCATCAGGACCCGTGCGATGTTTCAGTGGCATAGCTACACCCCGAAGGCCACCCCGAATCCCAGTTGACCAGGAGATCTAGCCCTTTGACTATCGTCGGACGGTCTTTGACCAGTGGACTCTTCCACCTGGTTGCGATAGG